TTTTAACTCTTAACAATTTATGGACCCATTCATCCATCCAAGATTCAGGGGATTCTCAACCTCGTGAAAAGGAACAACGTTTAATTCCCTAAACCTTCCATCTCAGTAGAGTCCCTGTTATGGGCCAGAATCTATGCCAGGCCCAGAGTCAGGATAATAAAGACAGTCTCAACACTGAAGAGATGAGGAAGGACATACGCAGAAGTAAAAAATTAATGCTGCTCTTATAACAGCACCTGTTTCCTTCCATTGCTTCTTCACTGTTGCCTCATGCTCCTAACTCTAAGTAGGTTGTGGGTCCCATGCAGATTTCAAGATCTGGCTAGATCCATTTGCCTTGAGTGGCCAATATAAAGGTAAAATTTACAAGTTTTTCTACTTAAATTAAGTAAATTACTTACTTTATTTTACCCTTTTTAAAAAAGATAATTCTAATCTTAAGCATTCATCATACGACATATACATTTTCTTTAATCCTATTTTAGGTTGAGCTTAAAAAAGTTCTACCAGGAATTTAGTCGGAAGTGTTTTTACTATGAAAGCCTAAATAGAATACCCAGTTGAAGCCCAAATTATGTCCCGGAAGAAAACACTGCAAGACAATAGGATGGTTGTCTGACTAGCAGGGGCAGGTCGCTGTATCTGGGAATTTCCAATTACCTCTCTCTAAAAGCATTCCAAAAGAAACTATCCTAGCTTATCTGTACTTCATCTCTACATTTTTCAATCTTCTCCTCTTAAGAAACCAAGGCAGGCACAAATTTACACTGAGTCAGGCAGCGATTCTTCCCCTTGTCTGCCTAAAACTCATTAATAAATCAAAGTTGTCAAAAGTTGCCCCAAATAGTCTCACTGTTCCTCTCTGCTCCTATATATTCTGTGCACTTGGAATTACTTCAAATTCTAAAATGAAAAAGTTGGGGGAGAGGGGAAGAAAAGGAAAGTATTTACCCCACAAGGTTGTTCAGAGGATTAAAACATTGAGCTTGTTTATCCAAAGATGAGGACCCAGTTAACTATCATGTTTAAATAGATGCAAACTTAAAGACTTAAAATCCAACTTCTAAAAATTTAAGTGCATGGACAGGGGGCACTTTGATAGCAACTGTAGAAATATCTTCCAAAGTAGGGAGCAATCAGAACATCACAAAAATGAGTACTGGAAAATCAGAATTTTAAATAAAAATGTGAAACAAAACCATAGTATCACAATCTCCATCTGTCCTTAGGATTACATAACCATACGTACACTTCCATCAATACCATTTGTGTAGTCTTGGGAAGGACACTTCAACCTCTCCGAATGTGTCTTCCATTTAGAAGAAGACATCACCTCTGAAATTCTCTATCTCAATGTTGTCCTTCAGGCTAAAGATGTTTTGGCTAATGGGATGTTTCATTATTTGTTTATTTTTATTATTTTTAAAAGATTTTATTAATTTGAGAGAGAGCGCGAGCAAGACAGCACACGTAGGGAGAGAGGCAGAGGGAGAGGGAGGAGCAGGCTCCCCGCTGAGCAGGGAGCCTGATGTGGGACTCAATCCCAGGACGCTGGGATCATGACCTGAGCCAAAGGCAGACGCTTAACCGAGTCACCCAGGCGCCCCTAATGGGACGTTTTAAACGTAGCTTAAAAGCAGCCAAAATTATTTTCTGAATGGCATCCAAGGTAACCCAAACTGACCCAGATAAATTGGGGTGCACTAAATGGTTGGTAAAGACTCACTCTTTGTTGTTGTTGTTGTTGTTTTTTAATATTTTATTTATTTACTTGAGACAGACAGAGATACTGAGAGAGAGCTTGAGCAGGAAGGAGGGGGAGAAGCAGGCTTCCCGCGGAGCAGGGAGCCCGATGCGGGGCTCGATCCCAGGACCCCGGGATCATGACCTGAGCCGAAGGCAGAGGCTTAACCATCTGAGCCACCCAGGCGCCCCAAGACTCACTCTTTGACCGCAAGGAGTTTATAATCAAATTAAGGAAGCACTATTCAAATTAGAAAAATATTAGCAAATTCACAAGAAACTGAATACAGTAGTCCCCCCTTATCTGTAGTTTCACTTTCTATGGTTTCAGTTACACAAAGTCAACTGCTGTGCAAGTGGAGGCAGATGATGATCCTCCTAACACGTCACAGAAGGTCGAAGGCAACCTAAGGACACATAGTACCTATTGTCACTCACCTCCCTTCATCTCATCACATAGGCATTTTATCATCTCACATCATCACAAGGAGGGTAACCATAGTACGGTAAGATATTTTGAGAGAGAGAGCACACTCACTTAATTTTTGTTATAGTATATTGTTATAATTATTTTATTTGATTATTATTATTAATCTCTTACTGTGACTAATTTATAAATTAAGCTTTATCATAGGTATGTAGGTAGGGGAAAAAACAAGAGTATGCACACCTTATGGTACTATCCGTGGTTTTAGGCATCCATTGGCATTCTTGGGATATATCCCTGGTGAGTAAGGGGGGACTACTGTACATATTTGCTAGGTCACATGGCACTAATGATAAGGGTCAAGGAGGACTGGAGTAATGAGAGACAGCTTCAAAAGCAAGGGGGGGTTTCAGGTCAGGCTTGGAGGAAAAAGAAGAATTTGAATCAATGAAAGAAAAGGCAAAGGATGAAGAACACGAAGTCTATGTTAGTTCTTTCTTAAACGTTAGTCCTGACTCTGTGACCTTGAACAATCCATTTATCACCATTACCCTTCAGTAAATCCACAATTACTGAGGGTCTACCATACATAAATAAATAATGGAGATTTTTCAACTTAAAGAAGGGGTAAATGGCTTTAAGATTAAAGAAGAGGAAAGCTCAAAACTAAAACAACCCCAAGCTTACATTATGCTGCTATCATAAAACACATGAAATCTGTTCTCTAAAAAAAGAATTTTTGTAACTTGCTTTTGCTACTTCATCATTTCTCAGTTAAAACCAACCTCTTCGTGAATCCTAAATTAAACGTATGTGTAACTTTTTTACTTAGATCAGTCATAGTGTGGGGGGAAAATTTTTTACATTAAAATTTCAGAGTCCTGCTCCATCCTTCTCTCATCTGAAACCACAGTATTCTTTTGCCACTAAAAACAGTATTTCATTCCACAGCTGTAGAAATAGCCTAAGCCATCTGATAGCTTCATTTATGATACAGCATTGAACTTATCTAGCAAAACACAACACATGCATTGGTACTTCCTTTTGTCCTGTGTATTCTAAATCTCTGCCAAAATCAGAGGAAAGAAAGTACAAATGGACAGGATATCCTCAAATTATCTGGTTTGCCTTATGTCATTCCAGAGAAAAATCTCGTGTCTGATTCACAGTTAGAAATTCAAAGTAAACACTTGAAACACCTAGGGTAGTCAGGTCCTGATGCTGAAGGTAGACCTTCCTCAACGGCACTTTGTCTTTTAAAAGGCAACCCAGGAAGGCTTTGCCTAAAGGAATATCAGGAAATCCTGGCTTTCCAGCATTCACCTACTCTATCCAACATAGTTCTTGGCTTATGAGAAAGGATTAAGGAAAGGAGCATGCACACCATTTTTAAAGAATACCAACAGGAACCAAGTACATCAAAATCTATTTACATGATAAAATTACTACAGATTGATTTACAGTTGTGGTGGCATTTTGAGATTCTTATCCATTTTGACACAATTCTTTTTTTTATAAAGATTTTGTTTTTTATTTATTTGAAAGAGTGTGAGCAGGGGGAGGAGCAGAGGGAAAGAGAGAGAGACTCTTAAGCATAATCTGAGCTGAGCGGGGCTCGATGACAGGCTCCATCCCACGACCCTGAGATCATGACCTGAGTTGAAACCAAGAGTCGGACGCTTAACTGACTGAGCCACACAGGTGCCCCATTTTGTTATAATTTTTAATACATACTATATATATGTATATTAATTCGATGTACATGCACTGTATTTCTTTTTTTTTTTTTTTAAAGATTTTTATTTATTTTTTTGACAGAGAGACACAGAGAGAGAGGGAACACAAGCAGGGGGAGCGGGAGAGGGAGAAGCAGACTCCCCGCGGAGCAGGGAGCCCGATGTGGGACTCGATCCCAGGACCCTGGGAACATGACCTGAGCCAAAGGCAGACGCTTAACAACTAAGCCACCCAGGTGCCCTACATCCACTACATTTCAACAAATACTCCAGAGGACCTAGTAGCATGTGCTGGATAAGAGATTTGGTGTGAGACTGTATTAGCTTTGCTGTGATGCCAAATTCTTATCTCTATAAGCCTGTTATTACATCTATGTAAATAATATTGTGATATACGCATAGCTATGGTGAAGACTTTGGAAAGCCAATGAATATAAAGCCCTGAGCGCAGCATACACCTTCACTCAACTCACAGCCTTCCCCCCTTCTTCATTTTTCTTTTTACTATTATAGCGGTAAGCCAGATAGACAAAGCCCTGTAATCTTGATGCTTACAGTCTAGCAGAAGATACAGACAATGCCCGTGACAACAACATAGTAATGATGACGATAAGGGTACGACTACTATTAATAGCAGCTGATACTGATTTTGAACTTACTATGACCAAAGCACTACTGCTAAGCACACAGCTCATTCATCAGTCCTTACACCCTCTGAGGTAAGTGACCAGGGCAACAACCGTTGCTATATGAATATGTGGGAGTGACTCCCTACAACTCAATCCTGAGTGGCTGGGAAAGGACATTCTTGAGATTCATAATATTAATCCGGTAAAACGATGCAGGGATGTGGGGTTGGGAGGGTACGACGTACACGTGTGAGTGCCCAGAGCAGAGAATGCATGCAGAGACGGTCAAAGAACCGAGAGAAGTGTAGCTCTGGCGATATATATGTGAAGCTGTAATCGGTCTATAGATCCATGTATTAGATAGGGGGTTATTGGAGTGTTAGAAAGAGAGGCGTTCTTAGGAGCGGGAGAGTTTCATAAAAGTAGTATGAGCTGGTCGGTTGGCAAACTGCCGAAGAAGCCCACCTGTCAGCAGCAGCCTGTACTGCGGGATCCGCTGAACTGGCTTGAGCAGGTAGTGCTTGAGGGCCAGATTAGCACAGCGTGGGCTCATCTGAAAGGAAAACGTATCCAGAGTAAACACAAGCGTTCCTTTAAGAAACAAGGGATCCAGATTCAAGTGCCCAGGAAGCCAAACTTTAGAAAGCCCCAACAGCTCTGGAAGGGGACTCATGGGGAAGCTCCCTTTATTCTAAGGCGCAGCTACTAAGCCACAGCTGACTCACCAGCTAGCCCACCCATCTCTCCCGCAGGGAGGTCTCTGAAGTCCCGACTCACTCTCCGACAGGGGTGGCTGCAGCCGGCTCCAGCTCAGTGAGAGCCCACCATACTCAGCAGCTGCCACTTTGCAAGTATTTGCCAGTGTATCCACAAGCACAAACAAACCCTAAAAAATTGCATGGCCCTCAAGATAAGGCAGAAGAAATAAAGCTACTGGGAACTGGACTCAAATAATAAGCAGAGCCTACGGTCAATACACCCACGATAACAATTGGTGGTAGTGGGGAGCGCTGCAGAAACTAAAGATAACCTGAAAAGCAGCCCTGCTGAGCATACCTTTTCTAGTAAGCCTGATGGATGTAAAATTTCTTTCTCAGATGGTTATAAAAGACAGTTCCCAAATCAGCATTCTGGAGAGACATTTTGATTCCAGAGCCATTCTGACTTGACCAAAAGGACATTTGATTTTGCCTTTAAAGCTCTTTTCCTTAGTATGTACAACAGACACTTCCACCCAATCCTAGGCTTTGCATTCTCCGACACAGGAATGTACTGTGAGGTGGCATCAAAATGGCCAAATGAAAATGTCCCTGCATCCTAAGATGTCTTGTACTTCTACTTCTTCCACAGCTCAGGTGGGTGGGGAAGGGTTTTCTTAGATTTGCTCAGATCGTTCCATCTTTTTCTAAATATGCACCTCTAGGGTCTGGTACACAGAATAATTAGGAAGTTATAATGAGGGGCGCCTGGGTGGCTCAGTTGTTAAGCATCTGCCTTTGGCTCAGGTCATGGTCCTGGGGTCCTGGGATCGAGCCCCACATCAGGCTCCCTGCCCCGCGGGAAGCCTGCTTCTCCCTTTCCCACTCCCCCTGCTTGTGTTCCCTCTCTCGCTGTCTCTCTCTCTGTCAAATAAATAAATAAAATCTTAAAAAAAAAAAAAAGTTATAATTATACCGCATTTAAGAAAGCATCTACCATGCAAGCACCATTAACCAAGACAGCTAATTTTCCCATCTTATGTTTTTTCTTTTGCTGCCAAGGCAACAGAACAATGCACTGGACACTGATGAAAACCTGGGTCAATTATCAGTTGCCATAGCTACAGAAATCACACTTCCTTTCTTACAGCATGAAGACATCAGAGGAGAGGAAAAGAAAAAAAAAGGAAAAAAGACAACAAATGATTTTATTTATTTTTTTAAAGATTTTATTTATTCATTTGAGACACAGAGATACAGAGAGAGAGAGAGAGAGAGAGCATGAGCAGGGAGAGAAGCAGAGGGAGAGGGAGAAGCAGGCTTCCCGCTGACAGGGAGCCCAATGCGGGGCTCGATCCCAGGACCCTGGGATCATGACCTGAGCTGAAGGCAGATGCTTAACTATCTGAGCCACCCAGGCACCCCGACAACAAATGATTTTAAATTTGTGTTTAATGTACAAACAAGAAATCAGCAATATCTTAATACTTCTAAAACTTTTCTAGTTTTGCGTGACTAGAATTCGCTGATTTTTTTAGTTACAACAGAGAGAAATGAGTATTAAAACATATAATAATTCACATTTTACCCAAGATTGGGGGAAGGACTTAAATTGTAGTTAAAACTAATTTTTAAGAGATGTATTATATCATTTATCCCCAATCAAATCAGGCTTGTACTCTCATAGCTTTGAGTCCAAACACAATGCTTTGGTTATAAACACATCATTAATTTTTCTTAACTTTGACACTGAATCTGTGTCACTTATTTATCTAAAGGGAAACAAATTACATTTCCCATCCTTCACTGTAGATTAGTTGTTAGAAGAATAAAAGGAAAGGTTGAGTTAAAAATAAGAAATGTTTCTAGAGTAGTCAAATTCAGAGACAGAAGGATATAATGGTGGTCACCAGGGGCTGGGGGAGGGGAAAATGGGATGCTGTTTTTGCCATAGTTTCAGCTTTGCAATGTTAAGATGAAGAGAGTTGTAGAGATTGGTTGCAAAACAACATAAAGGTACTTAACGCTACTGAACCATACGCTTAAAAACGGTTAAGATGGTTAAGTTTTATTTTATGTGGTATTTCTCCACAATTAAAAAAAAACGATCAACATATTCTAGCATGCAATCATAGATTTTTCAAAATTAAATCTTGTACATACTTTCTCACCTTTTAATTTGCTCAACCCCTTTTTGACTTTGAAGGGATTATATTTTAATATCTTTTTGTTTTCAACGATTACAAATTATTACAGCTTTAAAAACAACAAATAAAGAAAAAGAGTTCAACATTATATGGGAGCAAAAATACCTCAAAATCTCTAACAACAGCAGCAAAAGCTGGGTTCTTCTTGCACTGCTCATCCAGCAAAGCTATATTTTTGTCAAATTCTTTGATGTACGTGGAATACATTTTTAGATATGGTCCCTTCTTTACAAAGATATCAGCAATTCTATGTTGTTCAGTCCTAAGATAGAGAAGAGATACACAAAAACATGAAAAGAGTCATTGACGTCTCCAAAACATATCTAATATCCAATGAGAGTCCCGTGTCTAAGCCATCAGGGCGTCCTCTTCTCCCTTCTTATAAGACATCTCCTATCCCCAAATGCCTACTCTTCACCATTCCCACTGCCACCATCACATGTCACCTGGATTTTGCCAGCCCTCTGACTGGTCTCCCCACTTCTACCATCTCATCCTACTGTGCAGCCAGAGAGTCTAAAAACGTATATTACACCATGTGACTTCCAAGGGCCTCCTATGGGACTCAGCAGGAAAACAAACTCCTTCCCTTGGCTTACAAAAGCCCCACTGGTCCTACTGCTGCCTACTTTTCTGACCCATTTCATGCTTCTCTCCTTCTTTCTCAGTCCTCTCCAACCACACTGGCCATCTTTATATTCCTTTGACATACGGAGTCATTCCCACTTTGCAAACTTTTACTAATGGCTTTGCATGCCTGGAAATAGGAAACCCTGGCCAGTTCTTCCTTTTCGTTCAGATGTCACGTTAAAGTCCTTTCCTTTCCAGAGGGCCTTCCTTGGCCACCCAATCTTCACTCGCCAGCAGGTCATCTTATTTTACATCTTTCCAGATCACAAATTGCTTGTATCTTGTTTCTTGTCCATTTTTCTGGTTCTCCCCCACCTAAAATGTCTACTCCATGAGGGCAAAAGCCTTATCTATTTTGTGCAATGTGATACTCCCGCCATGCTTAGAGCCCTGACCAGCACACCATAGATAACTCAAAACCTTGTTGAATGCAGAAATGAAGTATTTCAACAGTTATTAAAAGCCAATGTAAAAATAAACGTTATTTTAGAAAGCATACTAAAACCAAAGAATAGGTCTTAACTTGAAGGCCCCTGAGAGAAAAATATTTTAGTAAGTAGAAAATATCTTATCCAAGGATCAGAAGAATTTCATGTCAGTAACAAGTGTAGCTTTTCCCATAAATATCGTTTTAGCTGTCCCTTTCATCAATTTAGTCTGTTTCTTAGGAATGCTTAATACTTTAACGTAGAACATCTATCTATCTAAACTTGAGAAAACCTTTACACAAGCAAAAAATAAACTTAAGCCTCTTTTAACACCCCTTGCATAAATATGCGTATCTTTTAAAGGCAATTGAGTAATTTTACTTTTTTTTTTAATTTTTATAAGAATGACAAAGTATACATAGGAAAATTCTTTGTAATCACATTTTATTTCTATCATGACTTTTAAAAATACCTTTTAGTCATTCCTCAGTCCTTAACCCTGGGTTATTTTACACTTAGGCTACAGCTAGGAATTAATCACTCATCTAACATATTTTCCCAACATGCAGAGGCACGATATTTCCAAAATGGGCAAGAGGTATTTTTCTAGAAAGAAAGCTTATGGGGAAATTTTGATCATGAAAGTAGGTGACACTATTTTGTTATGCTAATCATTTGGGGTTCCCAGGGACAATAAATTCTCAAAACCCCTAGAACAAATTTTCTACATATTTCCGAAGATGTCACCAAAGTGTCTGCTTACTTTCTACAACCCAAGGAAGTAGTTAACCTTTTGGTATTCTTTTCCAGTTTGGAAATCTATAGCCTACAATGATATCATACACATGTAAATTTTCTAAACCAAACAAACATATTATCTCAGTGAATGGCCTATTTCCCAAAATGTAAAGAAAGATTCATGAAATTCCAGAAAAGATTATGAAGCATTTAAAAACTTTTCAATGTGAATATATCAAGTAAATTCCCTCAATCTCAAAAACCTTGATTATCACCTACAGAAAGTTAAATTGGCTGAATATGGACCCTTCTTGTTTTTGAGGCAATATTACCAAAGAACTTAAACATTTCTAGAATTGAGGTCAGTGTGTCAAGGTTGTGAACTTCGGCCATCTAAAATGAACAATCTAGGGGTGTCTAGGTGACTCAGTCAGTTAAGCGTCTGCCTTCACTCAGGTCATATTTCTGGGTCCTGGGATCTAGCCCCATGTCGGTGAGTCTGCTTCTCCCTTTGCCCCTCCCCCTGGCTCATTCTCCCTCTCTCCGCCCCCCCACTCTTTCCCTCTCACTTGCTCTCTCTCAAATAAATAAAATCTTGGAAAAAAATAAAATAAAATGACCAATCTACAGGTAACTGCCAAGAAATGCAATACATTGCAGGGGTGCCTGGGTGGCTCAGATGGTTAAGCATCTGCCTTCGGCTCAGGTCATGATCCCAGGGTCCTGGAATCGAGTCCCACATGGGGCTCCTGGTTCAGCAGGAAGCCCGCTTCTCCCTCTCCCTCTGCCTCTCCCCCTGCTCATGCTCTCTCTCTCTATCTCTGTGTCTCAAATGAATAAAAAAAAAAAAAGAAATTCAATACATTGCAACAACTCAATGTAAGGAACACCACCTCTCTGTCACAAGCCGAGCCCTTATGGCTTCATCTAAAATTGGGACTCTGGGAAAGCTGATCAGTCCATTTTTACCAGTTTGACATTCTTTCCTCCAGTTCCTTCAGGAGATCCCGGTTGAGCTCATACAGCTGAGGCAAGTAGTACAGGATCTGATTTAGGATTCGGTCCTCAATCACGGGTTTCCCAAGGTGCCTGGAAGCATGGGCTACTGCGTCTCGGAAATCCTATTACAGTTCAGGGAAGGAAAAATAACATACATAGACCTATAATTTGACATAAAGCTTTTTCCCCCAGTGCTTCTCTTTAAAACAACATAAATCACAGACTGTATTTTCCACGTAGAATTACAAATTGAAAGTGCCCACTTCCTTCTATTCCACTTAGCTAGATAGAAAAAAAACAAAAACAAAAACAAAAAACCCACCACAACAAAGTGGCTAGGGTAGATATTTGGTTTTAAAACAGTCTGTATATTTCTTTTAAATCTTTTGATCTCCAAACTTCGTAATTATATTAAAGGGTATCTGGAAATTGTATAACTAAGTAGCCTTTAAACTTATTCCAATAGTGCTATATGAACACAATCCATTCATTTTAGAAGTCCCCAAGAGATCTCACTTAATTTTATTATGGAAAGTCCCTTTGTTCACTTTCAGTAATTATTTCCCAACAACAAGAGCATTCTAGGTAAAGCATGTGGAGGAGACTGGCACATTCTTGATAATTAGAGAATACTAGAGCCAGTATTACTGTGTTTCCCTGGGCTAGCCTCATTTTCCTCATCTGTTAAGTGGGTTATGAGACTTTCATATCGCACATCATCAGCTAACACACTTAAAGCTTTTTGCAATGTGTTTGGCACACAGAATCAACAAAATATTTCCACTATGGACCTTAAACTCTCCTCTCCCTCCTCTGACTCTTTGATAAATTCACCAGGATTTACATTTTTCACAAATAAAAAATTTTCTCTTTGTATATTCTTTTCTGTCAGCTTTTCCCTAGAAAATATTTATATACCATCTTTTAATACAAGTCCACACCATCCCATCCTGTCACCGCAGAGGACTTGGAAAGGGTGGTGGTGTCTGAGATCCTAATTGTCTGGTTTCATCCTATCTGGAGGCCCACCCTCAGGGGATAAGTAAAACAATAGTAGAATCTGTTCCAAGGTCCTAAGGACTCAAAAACAGAGACTGTTCCTTCTCAGAAACAGCAGGTTTAATTGAAACCTTAAAGCAAAGGTTGGGTAAAACAGACTCCGCTAGGCTTCAACTTCCTTTATCTTTATTTCTAAGTACTTTCTCTTCAGGGATTCACTGGGCAAATGAAATAGACAAAAAATACTGGTTTCTCCCCTGATCTCTGCAACCCCTTGCCTCCAGCATATATACATTAACCATAGGCATTTCTTATGCTTCTTGTAAAGGACAAAAACCTTATGTAAAACTTAAAAGTACATGAAAGGATTCCTTTCCTAAAGGATGGTCATTTCAGACAATTCAAATCCTCCTGTGCTGAACAGGTGCCGATAAACCCTTCACTCAGGCTTCAGTTCCTGGGACTAACTTTATTGGTCCAACAGTCACATTGGCCCAAAGGAACCAAGTACTTAGAGCAGTAACTAAAGAACTACTTTTACAGCTAATTACTGTAATATAAAATAGGAATTTGTAACTTGCATAAACTCCAATCCAGAAAACCACACAAAACATCTCCAGAAACCAAATGGATATTGGCCAAATTCCACCTCCCAGCAGCTTGTTTCTATTAGCATTCACATTTACTAAGAGAAAATAGAGCTACTTAATGCTTTTGAAAGCCATTAGATTTTTCCATCAGGCAGAACTACAGAATATATTTACATGAAACAAATAGCTTCCTCGATTCTAACAATAATCAAAGCACAAACATCTTCTATAGTACTTTCTTTCTTTCTTTTTTTTTTTTTTGGTATCAGTTTAATGATTACTAGAACTTAAATGCAAAAATTCCTTGTCCAGCGGGCGCCTGGGTGGCTCAGTTGGTTAAGCGACTGCCTTCGGCTCAGGTCATGATCCTGGAGTCCCGGGATCGAGTCCCGCATCGGGCTCCCTGCTCGGCGGGGAGTCTGCTTCTCCCTCTGACCTTCCCCCCTCTCAAGTGCTCTCTCTCTCTCACTCTCTCAAATAAATGAATAAATAAAATCTTAAAAAAAAAAATTCCTTGTCCAGCAAAGCAATAAGCACTGTCCTTTCTTCTGGTAGAATAAATAATGAATATGTTTGTCCCCTGGCAGCAAGATGACTTTTATTTTCCACTTGGAAGGTATTTCCTCAGTCACAACAGTGAGAGTAGCCATTAAGCAGCTAAGTAGCTTAAGGACCCTATTTGACACGGCTTTTGCCAGACTCTTGCATTCCATAGGTCTGCCACCATTGCCAAAAGGGAAACTTGTTTATTTAAGAAACATTCAACAGAGGCCAGCCAAATTCACACTGGGCTGACCAGTGAGAGGGCTGCCTCTAACTAGAGGTGTCTGTCACATACCAGGCAAAGCATCACTTTTTCCAGTATTACAGGATGATGACAGGTAGCTCTGGATGAACTAGTGGCCCATACTGTCCTTGTTAAAATTATGAGTAGCACGATAAAATATAATAGAAATTTAATAATTAAAAGGGCCAAAGAGGGGTGCCTGGGTGGCTCAGTTGGTTGAACGTCTCCCTTCGGCTCAGGTCATGACTCCAGGGTCCTGGGATTGAGCCCCCCATCGGGCTCCTTGCTCAGCAGGAGGCCTTCTTCTCCCTCTCCTACTCCTCCTGCTTGTGTTCCCTCTCTCGCTGTGTCTCTATCAAATAAATAAAATAAAATAAAAAATCTTTAAAAGAGCAAAAGAAGAACAATAGAGATGATAGGAATTTAGAATTTCTATCTACCTATTACAAATTCTTCCTAGGACCCAGGAAGTTACATATTCTTTTTTTTTTTTAAGGATTTTATTTATTTATTTAGAGAAAGAGCATGTGTGCACACATGCACATGCATGAGGGAAGGGGGGAGGAGCAGAGGGGGAGGGAAAGCATCTCAAGCAGACTCTGGGCTGAGTGCAGAGTCCAATGCAGGGCTTGATCTCCCGACCTGAGCCGAAGCCAAGAGTTGGACATTTAACTGACTGAAGCAGCCAGGTGCCCCAGGAAGTTATATATTCTAAGTAGGCATTACTAGGGCCATCAATTAGTCTTCATGGTACCTTTTTGAAAAGAGAAAAGGGCCCCCCTTACCCTAGACCAATGCAACTCACACCAAGGCCTTCATAATTGTACATAGCAGCTCTGGCCCAAAGTTCATCCCCTCACCTCTTGGGTCACCATTCCCTGAAAGCAACCTACTATGGCCCCAGTGCCAGATGTAACTAATTCACACAAGAACTACACGCAGAATCTTTAACTTCTCTCTTCTTCATGAACCTCAACCATTTCCAGAACTGCTGCCACTAGAAGGAGGAAAACATTTTTTTTTTTTTTTAATAAAAAGGAGGATTACAACATATGTCTGGTTATTTTTCTAAATGCTAACAGCCAGGATAATTTGGGAAAGTGTGATGACACTTCAGAGCCAGAGGCAAAACTATTTTTGGGCAGAGGAATTTAAATTCCCCAACACCTCCTTGACTAAATCAGTGAGGATGCAAGACCACACGACTGGCACTTCAAAAATGAGATCCAGAGTATACTTTTCCACAATGGAAAAGCTGGGTAATTAAAATGGAAGGGGTGTGGAAACTGGGGTGTGAAAATGTGAGGCAAGCAATAGAGTTTACTGATATCAATCACATATACTTCAGTCTATGCTTCCAACATAAAACCCACCAAAGATTCTGTATGTAAAACGGAACCACCTACACTCCAGTTTCTCATTACAGTAACCAAATGTCTGTTCAACTTGGCATTTTTAGAAATAGAAATAGGCTCCTGAATTATAAAGCATATCACAATATTATTCTTAATAATTCCCAGAAAATCTACAAATGAGAACCAGATCCAACTTCTAAAACACATTCAGTTCCTTTGAGGTAGTAACATACTAGCCTTACAAGCTCTGATCACTTGGGCAAGACCTAAGCAAAAACCAATGCAAATAAAATCACGTATGAACATCTAAAGCAGTGAAGCACAAAACAGATGGTCTTATTCACCGGGTCAGGCTTTATGTCTCTGGTGCCAAAGAGAAGTAAGTGACTTAATTAAGCTGTACGGACTGGGCTTCCTGACCTGAGGGCATTACTTAACCACTATGATGACACAGTGGATTACAAAGACTAAATGGACATACAGATGGATGGGGAACTCTGCAGGGCTCCCTGCCTTCATAAAGGGCATTAAGAATCACTTCATATTAAGCAAAAGCAAAGCAGCTGTGAAGGTCAAAGAGCTATGATAAATATGCAGAAAGGGGTGTGAAACTATGAAGTAAATGTAGAGGGGGTAGAAAGTACTAACATTAGCAATTTGATTTTGTTATTAAATTAAAATATCTGACCAATGAAATGATTCCTCCCTCTCGGTACACTCAGACTTGGTGATATTATGCATAGTCATCAATGCATGCAAACTGTATAAAACATGACCAAAACCAATCCTTTATCTCCAGTCTCTAACTCCCTTAACAACATTAACAGACAATCATCATAATATATCCTAAGTGACCAATATCTAGCTTCATTCTCCTCTGTAGATGATGAAAAACTAGAATTTCTCTGGTTTTTGGGCCAACTGAAGGAATTCTGAAAACCAGCTCATATATCCAAAGATATACTACTATTCCCATGCTAGAAATGTCAAGTAATAATTCTTAATCAATTTATGAACAATCACTAAGTGCAAGGTCTCAGAGAGACCAGAGTTCGAAGTCTGGCTTTGCCATTTAGTAGTGGGTTACGTTTGCCAATTAGTTTTCTTCATTTAAGAAACAGAAATAACATCCATTTGATAGGGTTGTTAAGAGGATTAAAATAGACAATTTATGTAACATAGTTTTAGCATGCTTCAAGGTATACAGAGAGTGCTCAGTAGAAGGCCATTTATTTAAGTAAAGAAGATTTGATTAAAATGATCACATGAATATCATTTATGATCCACAAGTCCCTAAAAGTTTGGAAAGAGAACGCTGAAGTACAAGGCATATCATGAGAAGGAAATACCAAAGTAGGGAAAACAAACACCTCAGCAGTAAGACAAAGGGG